CCATAGGGTGAGATGATACCCAAAGTAGGAACAGCTTAAAATGGGTAACTCCACAAGGCTGGGATTCAGATCTCATTGGAGAAGGTGTGGTTGCCAAGGCCAGAGTTGGTCCGCTGTCATCAAGCAAGCAGGAAATGCCCTTCAGGAATACAGGGAACCCAATCTGATAGTTGGATGCATAGAGGCTATAGGGGCACAGGGAGCACAGGGAGTCCCAGCAGAGCAGTGCAAGGACTGGGGTGTCAGAACCCTGCTTACCAGGGCCATGGTGTCCGTGTTAGGAGGGTTACTGGCTGGGATCAGAGCTGCAAGGTGGTCAAGGAATTTCATGCTCTAGAGTGTGTACCTTGAGCAGAGCAATTCTTGCATGGAGTGGAGGGAACAAGAAGCAGCAAACAGCAGCATACCAGAACCTGGGCCAGGGCCACTCCTCAGTCTCCAGGTGGGCAGGAACAACCCACTGGGATGCAGATGAAATGAGGCTGGTGGTCAGATGCACAGAGGAAGTCAGAAGTACAGACGGAGTCAAACTTCTCTGCCACCTAGTAGGCTGCAATCACATCTCTTTCAAAACTGTTCATACCCCTGCCTCCAACTTTTCCCTTTCTCTGGTACCCTTCAGAGTTCTCTTTCCATCTTTATAATTACTTCCATATCATAGCTTAATAACTCTTTATATTAAACTTCCGCTAAATTGCTGTGTGGTTCCTGTGTTCTGACTGGACCCAGATTGATACGAAAGCCAGTCTCAAGTTGCACTATTCCGACCTGTCTTCAGGAAACCCTAATTCATTTCATTATTTTTAACTCCAAAAAGCCTGCATCTGATCGCTAATGGTACATCAATTCAACTTAAAAACTCCATTAGGTGTCTAGTAAACAAAACCTGGAAATACTGTTTCTTCCCAAGGGAAAGCAAAAACATGGTCACCCACTTTAATTACATGGACCCTCTCACATAATTAATGGAAGCTGTGGGTTTTAATTGTGCAAGTTTGATATGTAAAGAATTTGACATAGATGTGATTCATGACTAGAAATCTTTAAATATGATGAGTTCAATTTAATTGCTTCTCCATCTGCCCCACTCCCTATAAGTCTATCAATATCCTCCTCTAGTCTTACAATTAAGTCTGAAGTCTTCCAGCATTAAGAAACATATACATTTCATTTAGGCCGGGCGCGGTGGCTCACGCCTGTAATCCTAGCACTCTCGGAGGCCGAGGCGGGCGGATTGTTTGAGCTCAGGAGTTCGAAACCAGCCTGAGCAAGAGCGAGACCCCGTCTCTACTAAAAATAGAAAGAAATTAATCG